TTATATATTGTGGGCTCAAAGTCAACACACCTTACACCACATATTCTCCTTTCCACTAGGCGAGCCTGAAGATGAAGTGATGTTACTTCGAAACCGGTCGCACTCAATGTTTTGTTGAATAATTAAACATTGGACTTTCCTTGTGAGATATAAAGGACTTTTTCTCCCCCCTTCACCTTAAAATTACTTCAACTCACACATGGCTACCCCCCTTGTCAATTATCTATTATTTTTGTTCCATACAAAATTTTCCTAAAATGGTCCGTATTCGAGAAATTTGACAAAATGTAAAAAAAATATTTTTTTATAAAAATTGTTCTTATAAAAGTTGTTTGTAATATAATTCTCCATAATTTTTATTTTATACATAATTTCTTTAAAATAGACCGTATTCGAGATATTTGACAAAATTAGTAAATTTCGAATTTTGAAGAAAACTCAAAAACGGATAAAGAAAAAAACATTAAATTTTAAACTTAAGGTTTATTTCGGCCTGACGTGAAATGATTAGATTTTGGACAAAGTCGGAACATCTAGGGGGATACTTTATGGGAGGCCGTTTTTATATTTTATGGAATATATCTGTTATTTATGTTTGGAGAAGAAAATTATTCAAATAAAAGTTACTTCTAATATTATTATCTATATTTTTTGTTTTATATCAAAATTTCCTGAAATGGTCCGTATTCGAGAAATTTGACAAAATGTGCAAAATTCTGATTTTTATGAAAATTGTTGAACTAAAAGTTGTTTGCGATATCGATCTCTATAATTTTTGTTTATACATGATTTTTCTAAAATGGACCGTAATGGAAAAGTGCTAAATTTAAATTTTTCAGTATTTTCGTTTTCAATGAATATACAGGGTGTCCTTTAAAATGTGTCCCAAAATTCTCAGGCAGATTCCTTAACCAAAAAATGAAAAAAAAGTTCCTATAGACCTATGTCCTAAAGTGCCCCCTAAGCGAGCAACAGCCTCTCGAAATCATTTTTTTTATTTTGATTTTTTGAATTTTCTTAAAAATGGAAACAAATAAAAGAACCAAATTTTGGCTGTTAAATATGATCAATAATAGTGACCTTTTGACACCTTCAAAAAGAAATTATTTCGTCAGGGGTGTACTTGGGAATTTTTTGAAAATTTTGATTATTCATAACTTTTTTGTGTTTTTGGTAATGACTTATCCATATTTTTTTTTACATTCTACATTGAAAACTACGTCAAAAAGGAATACTTGTTTGATCTCGATTGGAGCAGCCGTTTCCGAGAAAACATCATCCAAAGATATTCGTCCACTTTAGCTTAATTTTCAATTTTCCTAAATTACCTCGGTGAATCTCGTAAATAAAAATAACTTTTTTAGCTCTCTCTAAATAATTGTAGTTCAAATGTCGTGGTGGGACTATTTTTATTTAATAATAAGAAACGGTTTAAAAAAATATTTATTCTAAAAAAACAAATCAAAAAAAATTAAAGCAGATGCTCAATGTGGCGACCATTGGTTTCCACACACAAGCGCAACCGTCGCATCATAGACTGTCTTACACGAAAAAATACTTCAGGATTATTCCTAAGAACTTCGCAATGATGAAAAACTCGTTCTTCCAATTCTTCAACTGTTTCAACAGGACTGGAATAAACCAATGATTTTAAATAACCCCAAACAAAAAAATCCATTGGATTTAGATCTGGTGAACGAGGTGGCCAGTTAACAGGACAACCTCTGCCAATTACTCTACCCTCAAATCTTTCGTTAAGGTGCTGTCTAGCTTCAAGGCTGTAATGTGGTGGAGCTCCATCATGCATAAACCACATGTTATGTCTGATTTGAATCGGAATATTATCAAGAAGCTCATGTAAGTTATTTTCCAAAAAAAGCCTGTATGCTGCTCCATTTAACCTATTCGGCAAAACAAATGGTCCAATAAGGTAATTATCAATAACTCCAGCCCAGACGTTTATTGAAAATTTATCCTGGTGGTGACGTTCAACAACCGCGTGAGGGTTATCTTCAGCCCATTCATGCATATTTCGAAAATTTATTATACCATCTCTAGTGAAACCAGCTTCATCGGTAAATAGCACTTTATTAAGAAACATTGCATCTTGATTACATCTTCCAAGAAACCATTCAGAAAAGATAACTCGCGGCTCATAATCAGTAGCTTTAAGTGCCTGAACTTTTTGAATGTGGTAAGGGTACAATTGTTGTTGTTCACGCAAAACTTTCCATACCGTGTTACGTCCGACTCCCACTTCTGAAATTAAATGAGAGAATCTGTGTAGTGAATAGTTAAGAAAGAGAATCCATTGATTTGGGAAATCAGATTTTTTCTGCATAACGCAACTCTTTTCGATACGAAAAGTCGTGAAATGTAAGAGAAGCAATAACAAGTAAAAAAACTAGTTTTATACGATAAGGTACGGGGTAGCTAAAATAATAAATAAGTAATTACTTACCATTTGCTATTTTTCTGGTACTTGTCGATGGGGTTTCAGCTACCCTATCCAAAATTGCTTCTTCCAAAGCAGGAGTTCTCACATAATTTTGTCTTCCACTGTTACTAGAGTTTTTCTTAAATGTACCAGTTTCCCGAAGTCTATCGTCAATTCTAGAAAACGTCTTAGCGCATGGAAGATGCCTATTTGGAAAGCGCTCCTGATAAAGTCTGCGAGCTTCATTGGCATTTCCAGAAGCGAGTCCAAAACATAAGTGCATGTCCGTCATTTCGCCGAATGTGTAATCATTATTGTAGTTATTGTGAGCCATTTTATACAAAATAATAACAATACAACGAATCGCACCAGAACACTTTTAGAAATAATGTTTAACTGAAGAAACATTTTTATCAGTGAGCGAAAAAAATTATCCATGAAACACAAAAACGCCAAAAAAATACATATTTTTACTTTTTTATTCTAAACAGCTAAATACAAACCTTATGGTCTTCATAATAAATAAATGGGAACTAAATTTTTAAATTTTATTTAGAGAGCTAAAAATAGTATACAGGGTGATTGATTAGTGTGAGGAAGCTCTGTAGATCTGTTATAATAAAAGTAGGCAGATTTAAGCTTCACATTTTAAAATTAGTTACGATGTGACAGGGTGTTTCATAAGGCCGTGCCAAATCAAAGTTATGTTTTTTAAATGGAACACCCTGTATATTTTTATATTTTTAGAATCTGCTCGATAATCTGATTTCAATGATATATCACACTTGTTATCTAATATGAATAGTAAAGGATCTACAGCTACTCAAAAATCACATTTTTTCAAATTCAGGTGGCTGTTGTAGCCAAACAGTTGGAAATCGAGAAAAACGGCTTACAGTCCCTATCCTAACTTTTTAAGGTCTATTCAGTGACATAAAATACATATTATTTGATACAGGGTGATCAAAAATCCAAAATCACATCCGATTTTTGATCACCCTGTATCAACTAATATTTTTTGCCACTGAATAGACCTTCAAAAGTAAGGATAGGGACATGTAAGCCGTGTTCCTCGATTTCCAACTTTTTGGCTACAACAGCCAAAATTGAAAATTAACCTAAACTGCACGAATATCTTTGGATGATGTTTTCTCGGAAACGGCTGCTCCAATCGAGATCAAACAAGTATTCCTTTTTGACGTAGTTTTCAATGTAGAATGTAAAAAAAAATATGGATAAGTCATTACCAAAAACACAAAAAAGTTATGAATAATCAAAATTTTCAAAAAATTCCCAAGTACACCCCTGACGAAATAATTTCTTTTTGAAGGTGTCAAAAGGTCACTATTATTGATCATATTTAACAGCCAAAATTTGGTTCTTTTATTTGTTTCCATTTTTAAGAAAATTCAAAAAATCAAAATAAAAAAAATGATTTCGAGAGGCTGTTGCTCGCTTAGGGGGCACTTTAGGACATAGGTCTATAGGAACTTTTTTTTCATTTTTTGGTTAAGGAATCTGCCTGAGAATTTTGGGACACATTTTAAAGGACACCCTGTATAGAAAAATGTTTCGGGTAGATGTATGTGGACAATGTATATATTTAGTTTATTCTCTAAACATTTATAGAGATGCTGCAATAGGTTGTACAAAATAACAGGAAAAAACCTATAATAACTAGATAGGAAAGTCATGTGTTGGACACATCAGATTTTTAATCAAAAAAAATTAATTGTTAATTAGAGGTAATACGCAACATTATCATAAACTTCCTATTGAATTATATGATTTGGACAATATTAGTACTGGAAAATTTAATTATATATGATAAATTAACATAAGATATACAAAAAAAATATAAAATGGGCATTGAAATAAAAATAAATGATTTGCATTAAAACAAAACCAAACAACACTTTAAACAACATATTAAAATACTTTCGGCTTGAACGGCATTACAGTTTAAATAAGTAGACTAAGAGTACTACTAGTGAAATGTAAAGTAAAGTAAATAAGGAAAAAGATCATACCCACTTAAAGAATGTACAGTCAACACTTTATGGAATGTACAGTCAAGACTTTATTGACTGTAACTAGTAAGTTATTTTTTATTAAATAAATGAGTTAATATAAGCCAAAAATGTTTCAACCGAATACGCATCGGCCAGTGATAAGTACTCTCAATTTTTTTTTTAAATACCTCAAGCACGTTCCTTAAGGTAACAAACCCTTAAATTCATATTCATGACGTTGAAAAGAATCATAAACTGTAACCTATAAGTGTTTGAAAACATAATGGCAGTTATTTATCTAACCTCAGTATATTGTTTCCGTAAATTCATTCACTTTATACTGTCTTCGATGTATATTCTAAATATAAATAAAACTTTAAAAAATTTACTGTAATGTTAATTAAGGCATAATTGATAATAAAATTATCTGTAATGCTAATCATACGGCCGAATTTCTTATAAAATTACCTTTTTCAGCCAATCCAGCTATGAAAAAATATTGTAAAATTAAATAATCTCTTTCGTTTCCAGGTCGGATAGCATTCGAGAAACTCACCGACTTCGACTACCGAGGAAACACATACTACACCGTCAAAAACCTCAGTCTGTACGAATGCCAAGGCTGGTGTCGAGAAGAGCCGGATTGCCAAGCGGCGGCATTCAGCTTCGTCTTGAATCCGCTCATACCCATCCAAGAGACGCTGTGCCAGCTTCAGAACGAAACGTCTTCCAATAATCCCTCGGCGACGGCTCAAAGAGCCGCCAACATGTATTACATGACGAAGCTGCAATTAAGATCGGAGAACATTTGCTTGAGACCTTGGGCGTTCGAGAGGGTGCCGAACAAGATGATTCGGGGGTTGGATAACGCTTTGATTTATACGTCAACGAAGGAGGCTTGTTTGGCAGCTTGTTTGAACGAGGTGAGTTTATCAGCTTCATGTTTTTTAATATTTTATTAGGGTTGGTTTAACTTAGCAATTTAAACTAATTTCCAATTCGATATAATTTAGACCAATAATTCTTAAGCATTTGATTGGATAATCTCTCTTTAAGGTGGAGAGGGTAGGTTACCCCTACAGTACTTAGCCCTCGCTATGCTCATTGTGCCCTTCTGAATTAAAGACCTTTCTTAGCTAGTCGACCAGCCCACATGTTTAATGTAGTCGACAATGTCACCGAGAGGTGCCGCTGTTATGTTGGCCAGTGGTAGTCAATTCAAGTCAGAATGTCTATGATCCGACACAGATTTTGTCTAGTCACGGTGAAATATGTGTTTATTATATTGTTTTTAGGATATACGAGATTGATAGCTTAAGAGCAGCTCTGCATCTTCTTGTTTTAAATACCATTCCTTGAATTTCACAAGAGATTTGTCACAACCGATGTTGTTAGTTAAATGGAAGGATCAAGTCCAAAAAATAATTAGTTGACAGCCTTCTTGACTGGACAAATAATGAACTTTGGCTTTTCTTATTATCTTTTAGAGTGGCATCATAATTATTCAATCAGCAGAGTTGTAGTCGTGTCGTCTGAAGCTATTCAAGGTGACCACTTTTTATGCTAACAGATATAACTAGAAACTGCATTTTTTTTAAATTTCTATTTTTGCAGACCTAATTTTTAACCGACTTCAAAAAAGGAGGAATATTTTTGTTTATGTTTATTCAGCGATAATTCTTTACCACCTTGTCCGATTTCTATGATTCTTTTTTTCGGTAGAAAGAGGGCACCATAGCAGTAATCCTTTATAAATATGGTCAAGATCTAATAATGGTTTCTATGATAAAATCATCAAACTCTTCATTTTTTATGTATTTTCAACTACAATTCTTTATCACGTTGTCCGATTTCTATGATTTTTGTTTGAAAGGGTTATTCAATATACAATTGGTCAGAATCTGATAATCAAATTTAAATTCAAACGTATTCTTGAAACATCATTATTTATGAAATATGTACACTGTTATTAATTATAAATTACCACCCTTTATCATCTTTATTATTGCATAAACAAAAATTAAAAACACAATACCGTGCATATTTAATGGGATACAACAAAACATATAGGTATCACACCGTGGCGAGAAAAGTGACATAACTAAAAAATCGCCTTATTCGATTTAATTTTTTCGAAATGTAAATTTAATTTGCCTCCGCACGCAAAAAAAAGCATCACTCACTTCTCTAACTTATCACAAATCCTTTTTGTCTTAAACATTTAATGAATCTATAAAATTTTAATACAAGAAAATCGCCACCCACATCTTTACTTTATCAAAATTACAATTTTTCTTAGACGTCAAATATATCTATCGAATTTAAATACAACCCAACAAACAATAAATTGCCGGGATATTGCTGGCCTTCTGCTGTAATTAAAGGGAAAATAAATGCGACAATTAAAAGATAAAAGCCAACTTTTGGCTTTTCGATAGTGGCCTAGCATTATGTTGAATGATGAAGGCCTAATGAAGGGTAAGTAACTGTACTGGGTAAAAGTCAAAAGACGTTTAACTGCCACCAACCCAACCCTAACAATCCAGGAGGGTTCCGTCCCGCGATCATAGATGGAGGCACCGATGATCACTTGCTACATACTCAACAAGTGGATATGTATTATGCGGCCAGTCTCAGATTACTGATAGTCACTATTTAGTATTCATTGTAATTTCTTACTTCTACATCATGATGTTAATTTAGAATATTTTAGGAATATTCTTTTTGTAAAAAAATATTTCTCTATTATTATAGATAATATATCGCTCAATTAAATAAAATGTGAAAAATATTCTATATTGGAATGCTTTAGTATATAATTTACAGTTCAAACGGTAATACTGGTCAACGAGGCACTATGGAATCGCCTGTCTGCTCATGTGCCTGGCACATGGTTTTTATTCAGCAGTCATTATTAGTATGGTAAAAATTTCCCGTTAACTTCATATCAATAGGCCATTAATTGCCAATATATTTATTTCTAGACAATAAAGAGAAAATGGAGGTCTACTAACTGGATTTGACGGCTAAATGACTGTCTGCCGTAGTGACCTATATATGACGGCCTCTTAATTATTACACAAAATGTTTGTCGGGATTAATATAAAATGAGTTCTTTCGATTTTTCTGGTAAACTTTATTTTTTAAATTGTGTCACTTTTTTGTCGAGGTGAAATAAGACCTTCTTCCCTATTTCAAAAATATACCATGCGTTCGTATCTTAAACCGTTTTACAATACCCAAACGTCAAATATTTTGGTTTAGGTAAATATTTGCACTTTTTTCCTCACTATGAAACATTTTGAATATTTTATTAGAGAAATGTCACTTATTAAACATAATATATTTTCTTAAAAAAAGATATTCGATATTTTTTGACGGAAAAAAAGTTTGACAATTTATCTCTCTTGTCAGGTAACAAAATGTCACTTTTTATAAAATTACTTTTTTCCCAGTTTCCCCGGGAAAAAAGTGAGTATATATTTTAACACATGGTGTCGCCATCACTACTTGAATTCTTATTCTCTTCGTAACTAAATTTATTGTATACTGGTGAAATGTGTAGCATTTGTTAATTCCATTGGATACTGGAATCGAGAACATATCTATTTCTATCTGAAGAGTCCTAATAAGGACGAAAGCGGTCCAAGAATAATATTCACCTTAGTGAGCAAAATCAAAGGTATAGTGTTGAAATTTAATTTCTATCCCTGCATTCTTTCTTTTGGATATAATTCAATATCTGTTGCGGTATTAGTCAAAGGTGTGGTTGTTTTCTGAAGGGAAACGGTCGCTCGTAGTTATGTGTTATTGGCTATTATTTTTATTTATTTTATTTTACGTCTTGATCACATTTGAGTTGGAATTATTTGCATTTTTATTTAAAAGTAATCTAATAGTAAAATTTAGATGGCAATTGGACTGCATTTATCAAACGATGGTTTTTAATTCTTATCGTTGAATTTCCACCCTTTTTTGCTATTTATATTTTTTTTAATCTTGAAACAGCGGCTTTTTTTCAAGTAAAATAATTGTTTAGCAAATTTTGACCATTAGTATTAGTATTGTTAATCCAATTTCACTTGTTGGGCTCTTCAGAGATACCGATAATTAGGTGAATAAACTACAAAAATGGTTTACTCTCTACAGGAAAGAATCAAAATGATTTTTGTTTATGGAGAGGTTGGTAAATCACACAAAGGGCAGCCTTTTTTTCCAATGAAAAAAATCCTAATCGTAATGTAAGTCACGGGTATATTCTCGATTTGGTAGCAAAGTCTTGGAAACTGATTCGGTGCAAAAAGGAAAAGAAATAACCGACGAGTACTAAATGAAGAAGCTGAAATTGAGGTTTAGTAAACATTTGTGCAGTGCCAACTAGCTCCATACGAACAGTAGCAGAACAGATGGGAATATCACGCGAGACTGTAAGAAGAACACAGAAATTGCATAAATTTCATCCCTATAAAAAGCAGATTCTTCAGAGCTCTACGAAGAGAATTTTGATAGAAGAATAGAGTTTGGTGAAACCATGTTTGACCAAGTCAACGCCAACCCTACTCTTTTGCTGAATATCTGTTTTAGCGATGAATTTTCATTTTTTTTAATGGCAATATTAATAAACAAAATTATCTGTACTGCAGTGACGAACACTTGCATATTATTCGATAAAGGTGCACACAACATCTGCAAAAAGTTAATGTTTGGTGTGGTATTCTTGGAAATGCAGTTATTGGTCCTTTATTTATTGAAGGAAACTTGACAGGAGATCTGTACCTTAATATGCTTGATTATACTATTGATCCTCTTATAACTCACGATATAAAAACTCAAACTAATGCAGAAGGTAATTTAGTTTTACAGCAGGATCTCTTACATTTCCAGCAGGACGGTGCTACACCTCATTTTTTTTCCTGTCTGAAGGTGGTTAAATGGGAGATTCCCAGACAGTTGGATTGGCAGAAGGAGAGCAATTGAATGGCCCCCAAGATCACCTGATTTAACTCCCTTAGACTTTTTTCTTTGGGGACACCTTAAATCCATTATTTATAAAACACAACCTGCTGATATTGATGATCTTAAAAGACAAATTACAGCAACATGTCGGTCAATTGCCGGTGAAGTTTTTCGAAATGTTAGAGAGAAGTTCGGAAACTTTATTACTGTTTACAGTACACTGGACAACATTTTAAACAGTTTTTAAAATAGTGTACAAGTAGATCGATCCTATGTGTGTTATTTTTAAAATTTCTTGTACTAATTAAAAGTTATTTTTGTAAAAGTCACGTAACCAGATAAATCAAAAATCAAACGTGTATACTTGATATTTCTCCCGTTATTCAACTGGATAGAATAAGTTTTGTTTAAATACAAAACTGAAAACCAAGAATGTCAGTGCAGGCACATTCCAACTTCTGTAACTTTGAAATGCAATTTTTCGGAACTTGCTAATCAAAAGATAATAAATTAGGGTACCATTGGAAAAGAAAATTAAACACCCTTTAAAATTATTTGCCACTTAACTCCCTTTCCATTTAAGATTTTAAGGGTAAAATATACCCCTCCTAGAAGGAGTGTTAAAAGTATTAATAATTGTAGGTGTACCCCTTGGGAATTAAATTGAAGGGTCTTTGCGATTTTTCATATTATTTACTGGAAGGAAGATATGCAGGGTGGGAAGTTTTCGGTTTGTCACCCTGTATAATACAGTATATTTTTAAAAAATGATCTCACGCATTTAAAAAATTATAATTTTTTGTTGTATCTCGTCAAATCTGCACGAAACTGTATTCACGTTGGTTTAAAACAAATTTTGTAATTATATGCGACAATAACATTGACAAATGGTAGGTAATTTATAATTAATACATTATATAAACTTTCAAAATATTGGAAAATTTAAATTAATAAATTTTAATACTTG